ATTTTTATTGAAAATAAATGCCTTTACGATGTGATACGAGATTTGAAAAAGGGAGAAAAAAAAGTTCGGCAAAAGGCGGGATCGATCCCGGGTCGATCGCGTCAAAATGCCAACGACACGCACTTATCCATCTGCACCACTGGAGCTGATGGTTTACAGCCACTTTTAACTAAATGTAAATAGACACCCCGTATTTTTTGATTGACAGATGTCTCGTCCAGTCAGCGGTGAGTAATCCCAAACCAATGGCGCTGTCTCAAACTATACCTACCTCTTCCGGTTTGTCTGAATTGTCCTTGTGTTTTCTGACTTGTTATAATGTTTTCTGAATTGTTGTTGTGCTTTCTGAATTGTTATTTTCTTTTTTAGACTTGCATTTGTGTTTGTAATTTGTTATTTTGTTTTCAGAATTGTGATTTGCTTTGCACTTCTCGGCCACCGTAGTTTGTATTATCTATTTGTTTTCTTTTTATTTATTATACAATTAACAAAAGCAAAAAAGGCCTCAAACACTAGCTTGCTCTATTCTTTCTTTTCTTTTTATTTATTATATGATTTAAAACTGCATTAAGCTAACGGAGACTTGTTGTAGCACTTGTATATTATTGCTCTTTGTTGATTTTGATTGCCTCATTTGTAAGTTGCCTTGGATAAAAGCGTCTGCTAAATGTCTAAATGTAAATTCACTTTCATTTTAGATTTTGCAATGAACTGATGAATTGAACAGTGAATGCATGAACTGATAAAAATGCATATTTTGAATGCAACGCAAGTCGCTTCAGATTAAAAGCACCTGCCGGAATGCATGAATGTAAATGATCTAAAGATTAAAAAAGGTCCGGAATAACATACGTGTGAGTTAATGAAGAGTTAATGTTCCTTTAATTGTAATTCAGCAATTTTAGACTGATGATCTAATAACTGTGATGATAGACGAACAGTTAAAGATTCGGCAGAGGCCAGGACACTCGCTCCGACCCTCTGAAGAAACAGAGCATTATGTGCAGATGCGAACATCTTGAGCGCATTAGATCCTGCGTGTGCCGTCATGGGAAGATGAACCCGGCCAAGAGCTCCATAAGCAAACAGCTCTTCTGCTCTGGAGGATCTGCTGTCATATTTACACAATCCCTGATCGCATCCGGACAACCATGAGTTTGCTTTCAATGGGGGTTCTGCGAGAACTCTGAGAAGATGCAGTTTGCCGGGAAACTAATGTTCAGAAGTTTGTAACGTGTTTGAAAGAAGTCTCTTCTGCTCACCAAGGCTGCATTTATTTGATCACAAATACAGTAAAAATGTGATATATTATTACAAATTAAAATAGCTGTTTTCTGTGTGAATATCAACATCATTACTGCAGTCTTCAGTGTCACATGATCTTCAGAAATCAGTATAATATGCTGATTTGCTGCTCGAGAAACATTTCTGATTATTATCAATGTTGAAAACAGTTGTGCTGCACAATTTTTTTGTGGAAACTGTGATGCACTATATTTAAAAGAAAAATAAATGAATACTTTTATTCATCAAGGACGCATTAAATTGATCAAAAGTGACAGCAAAGGCATTTATAATGTTACAAAAGATTTCTATTTCAAATAAATGCTGGTCTTTTGAACTTTCTGTTCATCTGTGAATCCTGAAAAATAAAATGTATCACGTTTTCCACAAAAATATTGTGCAGCACGACTGTTTTCAACATTGATAATAATCAGAAATGTTTCTCGAGCAGCAAATCAGCATATTATACTGATTTCTGAAGATCATGTGACACTGAAGACTGCAGTAATGATGCTGAAAATACAGCTGCGCATCACAGAAATACACTACAGTTTAACATACATTCACATAGAAAACAGCTGTTTTTCATTGTAATGATATTTCAACATTTTTACTGTATTTTTGAACAAATAAATACAGCCTTGGTGAGCAGAAGAGTCTTGCAAAAACATTTTATTTTTTAAAACATACTTTTGTCCACTGGTGTGCACAAGAATATTCCAGTGTTAATCACAAATTGGTGATACTACCTGTATTGATTAAAGTAATGGAAAATATATTTATATCTGCAGATCCAAATCATACTAATTTTGGGTGCCATGAGACATAAACTGAAATAAACTGAGACATAAAGCTGAAACATCAAGCTATTGAAGAAATTGTGTTGTGTATTGTGTGTGTGTGTGTGTGTGTGTATGAGAGAAAGAGTGTGAGTGTGTGTGTGTATGTGTGAGTGTGTGAGTGTGTGTGAGAGAGTGAGTGTGCACGTGTGTGTGTGAGAGTGTGAGTGTGTGTGTGAGAGCATGCGAGTGCGAGTGCGCGTGCGTGCGTGTGTGTGCGTGTGTGAGTGTGTCTGTGTGTCAGTGCGTGTGTGTGTGTGTGTGTGTGTGTGTGTGTGTGCGCGCATTTTTGTGACAAATGAGGACATAAATTTGTATAATAACAAGGGTATGACAGGTATTACAAGGAGAAGGTGACTTTTCAGGACATTACCCCATGTCCCCACTTTTCAAAACGCTTATAAATCACACAGAATGGAGTGTATTGAAAATCTGAAATAGCAGAAAGTCTCCTGTGAGGGGTAGGTTTAGGGGTAGGGTTGGTGTAGGGCAATAGAATATACGGTCTGTACAGTATAAAAACCATTACGCCTATGGGATGTCCCCACTTTTCACAAAAACAAACCTGTGTGTGAGTGTGTGTGTGTGTGTGTGTGTGAGTGTTTGAGTGCGTGTGTGTGTGTGTGTGTGTGTGTGTGCGCTGACCTTCTGAGAGTGTGTCCTGCGCATCTCCTGCAGCTGTGTGTCCAGTGTGTGCTGTAGTTTGTGTAGTTGTGTTGTGTGTTTAGAGATCACAGTGTCTCTCTCTTTCTGAAGAGAATCCAGCAGACGCTCCCGCTCCCTGCTCTCCTGTACACACACACGCACGCACAGTCACACACACACACACACACACACACACACACACACACACACACACACACAGACACACACACACACACACACACACACA